GGGGGAAAAAAAGCATACGATAGTGAATACCATCAGGGCCTTCATGAGTGTTGCAGCACGACTGTAATGCAGCGTTGAGTTCAGAAGAAGAAAAAGGAGCATTATAGGACTCATCAAAGGATAGGGTGAAGGTAATTGGGGTGTGTTCCTTGATGGCTTTAATGGAAGAAAAGTGTGGGGAAAGGTGAGAGCCACTACTGGCCTGGCTGAAATAGTTGCCCAGTTCATTGGCTACTTCGACCTCTTAGGATCGTGGTTGTAAAACAATGTAGCATATCTGAAATAGACGGTAAGGGGGTGGAGGGATAGGTATAGTAGAGAGTGAAGTGAAAGTATGCCAGTCAGCTCTATCAAAGCACCAGCGTGGAGGATTAGGAAGTGGTACATATGAAGTAGGCGAAAGGAGTATTGGGAAGTGGTCACTATAGGGGAAGTGGTCTAGAGCTGACCAATGGAAATCTAAATGTATAGTAGGAGAGCATAGAGAGTGGTCAAGGCATGAAAAGGATTGTGTGCGCATGTCAAAATGTGTGGGGCGATCTGAATTAAGAATAATTAGGTTATTTGTGAAGAGGAAGCATTCTAGAAATCGGCCACAGAATGTGGCGGCAGTTGAAATCAACTATGAGGAAAGGTGGTTGGAGTTGGGAAATTAGAGTTTCAAAGGCAGCAAAGTCAATGGGATGGTATGGGATGTGGAAAAGTAGATTGAAATCACTGTGATCCAGCGGCGAAGAAAGATGCGAATAGCTGTGCAAGGGACAGAAGTTTGTATGGGAGGTATGACATAAGGTGTTTTATGATGGATAAGTATAGACGAGACAAAGGGAGTGTGGGGAAGAGATAAAATGTTAATTGGGAATTGGAATAGGAGGGTGTGTGAGGAAAGTCTCTTGGAGGCATATAATAAATGGATTATAAGAAGCAAGGATATGACGTAGGTCTGATCTATGAGAGCGGAAACCGCGAATATTCCAATGTAGGAGAGCTATACCCTAGTTGATTTATGAATGATAACACATTTACGTGTTGGGGAATTTGAAGGGGAAGGAGCTAGGGGGTGTAAAGGAGGGATATTAGGAGGTAAGGAATTTGGAGAAGGGCATTGCTGTGACATGAGTGATTCTCGTGTGTATCCGGGAGGGAGTGCAAAGGATAGAGGGGATGGAGGGAGGGAGAATGTGCCTATAGTTGGGGTTGAAGGGGATGTGTTGTCTTGGGAGGGATTAGGGGGAAGGGGTGTAGGGGTGCTGTGAGTAAGAGGGGGATGCATATCAGGAGGATGGATATCGGAGGTGGACGGAATTGAGGGGGTTAGGTTGTGTTGAAAGGGAGTAGGAGGAAGGGGTGTACGAGGGGGATGGATATCAGCAGGATGGGTATTGGGAGGATGGATATCAGTGGTGGACGGGATTGAGGGGGTTAGGTTGTGTTGGGAGGGAGTAGGAGGAAGGGGTGTGGGGGAATATTTAGTAGGAGGGGTATGAATATCGGCAACCACTTCAAGTGTGGAAGGAGCATGAGTTATGGGATCTTGTGTTTGAAGCATATAGCTTTGAATGTCATCCATTGTTTCTGCAGTGGATTTGGTTGGAGAGTTTTGTGAGAAGGTAATTGTTTCTGCAATGAAATTTGTTGGAGAGTTTTGTGGGATAAAGCTTTTCTTATGAGGGGGGGAAGAGGAGACTGGTGTCTCAGGAACAAAGGTATAAGTAGGTGGAGGCGATTGTGCTGAAGGGGAAGAAGGGTTAGAACGTTTAGTCTGTCTACTGCGGGTAGTGCGGGAAGGGAGAGGGGTTGGTGTTGGGGCTGTAGTTGAGATAGGAGCTGTGGTTGAGATTGGGGTGTCTGGGTTTAGAGTGGCAAAGGAATATGTCTGAGGGACGTAGAATGTAGAAGTGGAAATGGGGACATTTTGGGGTGGAGGGGAGGGGCTGAGCGAACGATGTTACTAGAGTATGGAGTATGAGAGAAACCTTGTCGACGTGCTTCCTGTCTGGCTTCACGTAAAGTGAGACTATTTTTGTATCTGAGAGTTGCTACTTCAGATTCAAACTTGTAAGTGGGACAGCCTCTATAAAATACATTATGGGGGCCGCTGCAGTTAGCACATGTTCGTGTTTGTGCTGAGCAGTTTGATCGTTTATGACCAGGTTGGGCACATATGGGGCATCGGTCTGTGGAACGGCAATGTTTGGCAGGATGTCCAAAGCGCCAACAGTTTTGACATTGACGGGGAGGGGGTTGGTATGGTCGAACAGGGAGGGATTGTCCACCGATGTAGATACGTAAGGGAAGGTCATGTGTACGGAAGGTAATTTTGGCAATGTTGATCGGATTCTTTCGTTGACCTTTAGGAGGAATGGTGTAGCAATGTACTGATTTCACATCTTGGTCTTTGAGGCATCCTAATAATTCTTCTCCACAGTCTGACCAATCTTTGGTATCGACTGGGAAGTTTTCTGGGGAGAGAGAGAGTTCCGGTACAGGTATTAAGGGTTGGATGAGGTTCTGCAGGAATGGGGTTGTCAGAATGATCAGTTAAATTTGATAGTGCTATAGATTCAGTTTCTTATCTGACTGTTACAAGACGGGAGCGATCGCGTCTGGTATAGAAAGGGACTCTACCTACTTGTTTTTGGAGGCATTGTTGAAAGAGAAGAGTGTTGCCCGAGTAAGGAGCTGTTGAAGGGATCACGAAAAATCGGTCCCATTTAGTTGGGCTAAACAGAGTATTTAAGATATCTGTAGGGTTGGTGGTGGTGGATGGTCGGGGACGTGTAGAAGAGGGAGTATTACGGAATGATGGAGAATAAGGCTGCAAGGTAGTAATAAGGGAGAATTGGTTACTTGATGAAAGTTGCGGGGGTAGAGTTGATGTATTTGAGGAAGTTGGGTGGGTAAGTTGGGTGGGTAGGAATGTCTTCTGGAGATTGATTTTCTGCTTGGGTGGGTAATGCACTAGTAGGCATTGAGGGGTGGGTAGTAGTTTGTGTTCGGAGCCGTGGTCAAAGGAGAGCCTGGGTTGGGGCTATTTGATAATGGGGCTAGCCTCATTGCCTCTAATAAAGGGATTACATTTTCATTACTGGTCATGGGGAACCTGGGTTATATAAAAGGCTTCAACTGGTCCACCTCCATCGCTAGTGAAAGGTAAGGGCTAGATTAGCCGGGAGTACCGTGCCCATAGTTCCCGCAGGCCGTTCAGGACTGGCACAAGGTCAGCCTTTCATCCGGCTCTCACACCTTAGGAAGTAGATAGTAGAAGGGTTTGGAGAAGGGATGGAAACAAAGCTGGAGGGGGAAAAGACCATGCAAAATTAGTTGAGTCGAGGGCTGAGACCCTAGGCAGGGGAGATCCCTGCATTGGGTCTGTCTCCGTCTCCTAAGCCCCCCCACGACAACAACGGGCTAGGGATTGGGGGGGAAGAAGAGAAGGACCAAGCAAAATTAGTTGAGGCAAGGGCTGAGGCATAAGGTATGGGTAATCTATACTGGGTCTCAGTTGTCTCCCATCTCCCAAGCCCTCTCATGACGAGCTAGTCCTTGGGAGGGAATACCCTCAGAATTATTCATTGTAAGCTTGCTTCGATGGAGTTGAGATGCTTGCTGATAGCAAGGCAAAAGCTACTTTCTTCATGCAACTTGGTTTGTCATGTCCTGAAAATGGAGGATGCATGACTATTGATTATTTTTTATCTACTTATTTATTTTTAAATTCCATTTGTTAGTAGATATTCTTTGTTGTGATATGTTCTGTTTCTTGCTTCAAAATTATCCCGTGTGCAAGGAATGGCTGGGGTTACCATCCACTGGCTGTAGGCAGGAATTAACTTCCATTATTTAAACTTTTTTCTTTGCTCCTTGCAAGCGCTTTACGTGCCACAGGCAAGGTTGCCAAGCCCTGGTAAAAGTTTCTCAGATAATGCACACATTAACTGAATTCAGAGGATCTTTGATGGCATATGTAAGGCTATGAAAAATGTATGTATATTCCATTACTAAATTTAAAGAAATGTATAATAAAGACTAAAGAAAATCTAAGCAACTTGTTAACTACTTTTCGAGCGAACAAGAGGTAAAAGAATTCCTTATCACTCTTCAGCTTGTAAACAAAGTACAGGATATTGTAGTGGAACCGTCAGGTTAGTAAAACAGCAACGTGAGTGATTCCGTTTATTGAAATTATTACAAATGGCTTCTTTCTGCATGAGCCAGATTACGCATTATAATTTATTTTATTAGAGTTCCCCATAGTTACATTTCATCTCCTTAAAGGTCTCCTAATGTCACATTAAATGGGTGAATTACATACATACTAATCCTTCCAGTAACATAAAAAAAAATATCACAGACTTGATGGAATTTGCTAATAGAATGTAATCATAAAAGGGAATATAAAAAAATCATCATAAATAAGAGCATTCTGCAGGAATTGCTGTATTGTTTCTCCAAATTCTAATAATGATGACAATATATACCTTTCATAGAAATTAGAATGATAGATGGAAGTGTATCACAAACTCATATTTACTCCAAGATATTTTTAGGATTTTAAGAGTAAATTTTCTTAAAAACTAAGTGGAATGGGCATGATGAATCCTATTGCTTTCCTTGTTAACACATTGTAAAGCTTTATGACAGCTTCCACACCAAGATGAATTTTCTTCATACAATATAGTTGAGCAACTTTCAAATGGCTGAAATTTAACATTTAATCGGTTTCTCCAAATTGCAGATGCTAGCTATATATTTGGAATTCATATAAAAAATGTTGAGAGGCAAGAAGGCAGAAGCACAAAACCCTTACCACAATATAAAATAGGCAAGCTGATCAGTGTTGGCTTTCTCTGGCAATGAGTTGCAGATTAGATTAAAACTAAAAAGATAGTAAAATATATCTATGAACCAAATGTATTATGCATTATTTTAGTACACACACAATGGTTATGAAATATTAAGGAGTTTAATCTGAACTGATTAACAAATAACCTACACAACTAAGATGAACTTGTTGCTAATGATCCTTGATGATGCAAAGCTCCTCAAGTTAGGGTTATGACATTATGCTTACTTGCTCATTAGTCTCCACACTTAGTACCTGCCATTGGCTTTGCAAATATTTGGAACTCGTTTACAAAAAGTTAAAAAAATTAACTAATCAATCAATCTAATGTGCTATGAGACTGCGAACAGCTTTTCTACATGCTAGTTCAATTTCAAGGTTAGCATCCCCTAGATATTCATGATCCTTTGAGAGGTTAATGCCTGCTACGAAGAGCCTTAGTGGAGTTAGTGCTTTCCAGGTCCAGGGATGCCCATCTACCAGAGTTTGGTGGAGAAACCACCTGGAGGGATACGCTGTTTCTGCTGCGGCTGTGGCTGCTCTGTGGTCTTGTTCTCAGGAGTCTCTGAAGAGACAGGGTTTCCAGCTGAAATATAAAACACTCTTTTATTGTTGTTCGTTCATTACAAAACTTGAAAATAAAATTTAAAGAGGTTACATAACTGGAAAACTTAAAAGACCCGAAATGATCAAATCTGACCTTCTGTTTACTTTATGCTCATAATTTATCCAGGTGGAGAAACTAAATCAATATTGCAACTGTAACTACTGTTATATCAAATGCCAATTCCACAACCAAAAAGATGATATCCAAGTGTTTTGACACTAGTTTTCAACTGTGAATGGGATGCAATCCTTCTAATATACCCTACGAAAGTATTGAAGCTTGATCTGCACTATTCTTACGTAAACCATCGATATTCCAGAGTCTTCTGTTGTAACCATCAGACATTAAATTTCTCCATCTATTGTTCTAGCTAAGTTAAAATGTACACTTCCTGTATCTACTTCATATACACTTTCTCTGTCTACTTTAAATTAAAGAATATAATGCTACAGAAGCTGCCGCCACCCGCAAAACCAATTGGTAAAATAAAGGTACATCAAGCAACAGATAGAAGCAATAAATTCCAAGTCAGGACACGTGTGCTCGGGTCTTTTATAATTACAAATATATAAAAAGTATGGATACTTACACCTCTACATACAAACGTACACAAAAAAACACACACACATCCCTATGCTTGTGTTGTATGCGCGCACATGTGGGCTTGTGTGCATGTTTGAATGTATTTATATGCGTGACAGTGGGAGTATACGTGAAATTATGCGAGAGAGTAGGAGAGTGCGTGAGCGTGTCCATACGGCTATGCATACATGTGCATGTGCATGTGCGTGTACGTGTACGTGTGCATGTGCGTGTACGTGTGCATGTACGTGTACATGTGCGTGTGCATGTACGTGTACATGTGCGTGTGCATGTACGTGTGCGTGTGCATGTACATGTGCGTGCATGTACGTGTACATGTGCGTGTGCATGTACGTGTACATGTGCGTGTGCATGTACGTGTACGTGTGCATGTACGTGTACATGTGCGTGTGCATGTACGTGTACATGTGCGTGTGCATGTACGTGTACATGTGCGTGTGCATGTGCGTGTACATGTGCGTGTACATGTGCGTGTGCATGTGCGTGTACATGTGCACATGTGGCATGTACATGTGCGCATGTGCATGTGCATCTGCATGTGCGTGTACATGTGCGTGTGCACATGTGCGCATGTGCGTGTACATGTGCATCTGCATGTGCGTGTACATGTGCATCTGCATGTGCGTGTACATGTGCATCTGCATGTGCGTGTACATGTGCATCTGCATGTGCGTGTACATGTGCATCTGCATGTGCGTGTACATGTGCATCTGCATGTGCGTGTACATGTGCATCTGCATGTGCGTGTACATGTGCATCTGCATGTGCGTGTACATGTGCATCTGCATGTGCGTGTACATGTGCATCTGCATGTGCGTGTACATGTCTGCATGTGCATGTGCATCTGCATGTGCGTGTACATGTGCATCTGCATGTGCGTGTACATGTGCATCTGCATGTGCGTGACATGTGCATCTGCATGTGCGTGTACATGTGCATCTGCATGTGCGTGTACATGTGCATCTGCATGTGCGTGTACATGTGCATCTGCATGTGCCATGTGCACATGTGCATCTGCATGTGCGTGTGTGGCATGTGCACATGTGCATCATGTGCATGTGCATGTGCACATGTGCATCTGCATGTGCGTGTACATGTGCTGCATGTGCACATGTGCATCTGCATGTGCGTGTACATGTGCGTGTGCATGTGCGTGTACATGTGCGTGTGCATGTGCGTGTACATGTGCGTGTGCATGTGCGTGTACATGTGCGTGTGCATGTGCACATGTATGTGCGTGTACATGTGCGTGTGCATGCGTGTACATGTGCGTGTGCATGTGCGTGCATGTGCATCATGTGCGTGTGCAATGTGCGTGTACATGTGCATCTGCATGTGCGTGTACTGCATGTGCGTGTACATGTGCATCTGCATGTGCGTGTACATGTGCATCTGCATGTGCGTGTACATGTGCATCTGCATGTGCGTGTACATGTGCATCTGCATGTGCGTGTACATGTGCATGCATGTGCGTGTACATGTGCATCTGCATGTGCGTGTACATGTGCATGCATGTGCGTGTACATCTGCATGTGCGTGTACATGTGCATCTGCATGTGCGTGTACATGTGCATGCATGCGTGGTGCATCTGCATGTGCGTGTACATGTGCATCTGCATGTGCGTGTACATGCATCTGCATGTGC